GACATGCAGAGCACATGAATGATTTTACAATCATGACTCTGCTCTATTTCTCCAACAGGAATCCACTTGATAATCAAGCAGTTGGAGATATTCTGGATGCGACTGTTCATTCGAAGCTCCTCCACTTCTGTCCTCAAACCAGGTTTCCACTGCAGCAGTCAAAGTGTCTCAGACCATTATACATTCTTTAGAAAATATGCTTTAATTAAACATCCTTTAGGCTGCAACATGTTTCTTTCAATCTGAAAGACAAGAAGAGACATTAAAGGACCATGTAACATATCACATGTCTCATGTCACAGTGCAAACAAAGAGTAAACAGAGCCTCAGTTATAATGTGGAGTATGAGGATGTTTTAAATCACAGGCAAAAAATCAAAGCCTGTGAACAAACACATGCTGTGATGCTGATGACGAACTCCAGATTTGTGGCGGTCAAGGACTGTTCTGATGAGCTCTTATCATGTTTTTGAAATGTGGATATCTATTCTTTATTGCAGAATGGATTCAAGGACTGAATCTGATTCAAGGCAAGTTCAGTTGGAAGCAAATATTTAAGAGTAAATAATCATTTCCATTGTTATTATCACAAAATAAAACCCAACAGGCTGATCGGGACACTGAAACCTGACTGTACATTATTTCTCATATTACACGACTACGTATCAAATAAATAAATACATCGGCGTGACATTGAATGGAGTTTATTAATTAGCTAATGAAACTAATTCTTCAAATATACATCAGTCAAAAGTTCGTAATCATTAAGATTTTTTTATTGTTTTAGAAAGAAGTCTTCTGCTCAATAAGGATGCATTTATTTGATGAAAAATGCAGTAAAAACAGTGATATTGTGTAAAAAATATTGCAATTTAAAATAGATGTTTTCTATTTGAATATCTGTTAAAATATATTTATTTTTTATGATCAAAGCTGAATTTCCAGCATCATTACTCCAGTCTTCAGTGTCCTTCAGAAATCATTCTAATATGCTGATTTGCTGCTCAAGAAACATTTCTGATTATTATCAATGTTGAAAACACACAGACACCAAATCAGAATATTACAATTACAGGAATCAATTACATTTTAGAAAACAGCTATTTTTTTATTGTTTTAGAAAGAAGTCTTCTGCTCAACAAGGATGCATTTATTTGATGAAAAATGCAGTAAAAACAGTGATGTGTAAAAAATATTGCAATTTAAAATAGATGTTTTCTATTTGAATATCTGTTAAAATGTATTTATTTTTTATGATCAAAGCTGAATTTCCAGCATCATTACTCCAGTCTTCAGTGTCCTTCAGAAATCATTCTAATATGCTGATTTGCTGCTCAAGAAACATTTCTGATTATTATCAATGTTGAAAACACACAGACACCAAATCAGAATATTAGAATTACAGGAATCAATTACATTTTAGAAAACAGCTATTTTAAATCGTAATAATCACACTATCCCTGTATTGCAGCCTTGATGAGCATAAAAGACTTCAGAAACATTAACGATTGTAAACTATTGACCGGTATAGTATACAGTGCAGAAGTCATGAAACGTAAAAACTGTATGTGATGCAAATGTTCACTGAGAATCAAGTATCCCAGAGAGCTGGGTAACAATGCTGCAGATCCTTATAGTATTTACTAGATGATATAATCCGTTCAGTTCATCCCTGTTTATCCGGTGGTCTTTACGTGTATGTAACATGCTTCACATGTAACACTGCTACCCCTGAAACTAGTCACCATAAGGTGTTTAAAGAGCCTTAAAATTTACTATAAAGAAATCGTACCTCCAAAAGGAGACGGATCATTCCACACCGGAGCTTACAGATGGGCAGCATTATGATCCCTAAGGCACATTGTGGTGTAGTTGAGTGTGTGATGGGCACCTATGTCTCCACTGACTCCGGAGCCAAGCACACAAACGGGGTTAAACCGGGGCTGTGCTACATTTCTGAGATCAAACCACAGCCAGAAAAAAACACCACAGCCCTGCTGCCAAACTCCTGAAGGAAATTACAGGAATTGTCATCCCTATCCATTCCACTTCTTCTTAACATATAATTGATATGTCTCTAAATATTGTGTATCATTATCTGTCCCCTTTTCTGTGGTGTGACTGAGTCAAATGCTCCAGAGCTAAAACATGCATCCTTCATGCATGGGCAAAGAAAAACATTTTTATTAGTTTATGTTATCTCATCACATCATTATTAACATACCACATTATTACCCATCCTATATGCATTTATGTGTTTGCCAAGTAAAGTCCCCGAGACAACATCCTGCAATAGATGGTTCAGACTGTCAGAGTTCACACTATATCATCCCTGAACTAAAACCCCACAAAATGAGTTCACCAACGGCTTAATAATAGAGCGACTGCATACTAAATGCATTTTAACCTCTGAACCTAAACCTCCTCCTCCACAGTCTAATTAATCGTGCTGGAATTAAAGTCACGTCTCAGTTCAGAGATCTAGCAGACCATTAGCTCTGTGGACCATCAACGGTCCAGAAAAAAAGTATTTTGGGCATTGAAAAATAAGCTATGATTGAATTAATGAGCTGGCATATCTGTAACCCACGGAAGAGGAGATTCGGGATCATTCAAGCACTAATATTATCTTGCATGTGATAACAGTAAACTATGAACTCGGACTGAAGCTGACAGGGCTTTTTTTTTAAATGTTTTAATGGTTTTATTTTTTTTTCCTTAACAAAAGAGACTGTGTTAAAAACACTTAATTAAATGGGAGAGAAGGAGGTCTGTTGACACTGCACCGGTAATTGGTTGATATTACGGTTTACTGAAACTGGAGAGTTATGTTTTCTGATGTTAAAGTCTCTTCACATGGGGATAGATAAGTAAGCCATTCATAGACTGATTTCCCTGAAAAATGGGAAACACTGAGGCTAAATGCTGCTTCATTGTCAATATGGGCTGGTTGGCATGAGGTTTGTGTCTACTAATACATGCAAAAAGCATTTTTCTCATTGACAGCTAATAAAAAGTAGTTCAGTCATGACAACTCTCGGAGGGATTGGCATGGTAATGTATATGACAATGTTAATGTATTTGGTCTTGGCGGAATAGATCTGCTACGCTGCTGCGGCAGAGCAAGTACGGAGACTTGCTGCCAATACATCCACCACATGCTGCTGTGAGCATGTAAGAAATACTGCTGCTGCAAATATAACATACATGAAATAACCCCCCTTTTGCATACATGAATCACCTCGTAGCAGATCTATACAGGTGGAGCTGGGGAAGGTGGAGGGTTTCTGAAGCAAGCTGCAACTGCTACTGCAAACACTAGTCATATATTTGAATGTTGAGCAGCGAGCTCATTGGCTTCCGATACAGGAGAGAACCAATCAGCTGTGCCATGTGATAATGATGTCATTAGGTCAGATTGAGTTAGACCTATCGGACTGCGCCATCTAGAGTTTCATGCCAGAACTCTGCATATGTACTGTATGTATTCTAATGAAATAAAAATAGGAAATATTTCATTAAATTATAAATGTTTTGCCAGTGACTGATTTATTTATTTATTTTTTTTTTTGTGAACTTTGGAGGTTTGGAGGAAGTATGCAGTAGTTTGAAGGGTCTGTTGACATTGTTGCCAATCAATCAGCTTATAGCAACGGTTTTAATAGTCACTTCAACTACAGATGGTGCATTCAAGACCTCATGGGAAGTTCATATTTATGAGTCGTAATTATGACATCAGGTGCATTCAAATCACTTTTGTTGGAGCAAGATGGCAAAGTTCCTTTTCTATATACAATTCAACATTTTTTTTTTTTTTTTTTACATTTACCTACATTACATTTACATTTAATCATTTAGCAGATGCCTTTATCCAAAGCGACTTACAATTGGGGACAACAGAAGCAATCAAACCAACAAAAAAGCAACAATATGTAAGTGCTGTGACAAGTCCAGGTTAGTCCCACAGTACACGTAGCAAGGTTTATACACACGCACACACACACACACACACGCACGCACACACACACACGCACACACAAGAAAATAAGTATATAGAATAGAAAAATAATAGTGAATGCTAGTGTTTTAGAGGGTCGTTTTTTATAATAAATAAAAGAAAACAAGTAGATAGACTAGAAATAGAGTAGAGAGTGCTACAAAATGTATAATTTACAAAAATATGAATAAAAATGCACTGGATGTATTTTTGCTTTGTTTGTATTCAGTTTATGAAGATGCTGTAAATTGAATCATTATATATTATATATCCTAATTACTGTGGTATTCCGTACATGCAACTTAGATATTGTTTTCTTTTTATAATACTAAAAATTTCATTAATTTGAACAAATGTACTCTTTAATAAAGACCCTGCATCCACTGCTTCTGACATGTTTGCATGTCCTCAACTCAGAAAATCTGGGCTTACAGTTGCATGCTTGTAACTTCATGGCATCATTCATTCCTATGCATTCAACTCAATCAAATGCAATATTTCTGACTTGACTTGAATGCACCAACACATTCTCACACTTGCAGCTAACATATGCCATCATGCATCATATATTGGTCCTATACTGCCCCAAAATGGACCAAAACAATGTTGACGCCACCAGAAGAGGCAGAAGCTAAGAGAATTGGGCAGAATGACCAGAAGCAGTATGAGCGGATGCCAGTTAACTCATGCTTAATGCATCGACCCATTGGACAACCACCATCTGTCTGATTTAGCAAGAACTGACACCCACAAACATGCACACTTAGTTGAGTCCTATCCGGAGACACATGTCCCAGGGATTTCGTTGATCAACAACTGGACAGATGTTGTGTAATGCTGGCTTATATAACCAAGCAAACTGTAACCAACCCATTCTGATGAATAAACTAACCCACTGTTTTGTTTTACTCACAAAACAAATCTATAGAATAAGTGCAAATTTAAAACATAGAAATAAAATAAGCTGCTTTTAAATGCACTCAAAGGGGACGTTTTTGCAGAAAGGAGACAGAAGGTTGTTGCTTGCATACTACATACTGTTAAGGTGCAAACGGGTGAAGGATCAGGAGTTCAGGCTGTGTTCTTGCAAACTATGGGGTCTAAAAGGCACAGGCGCACACCACCGCTACCACCACAATGTTGCCAATGGTTGCAATTATGGCCACCCACAGCCAGATGGCGTCGCTGGAGAACTTGCCCTCCTCTTCCGGCTCGGCTGGTCTGGAGAAGCTGGTGTTGAGGTTGGAGGTGGATGTCTGAAGGGACGTGCTGCCATTGTATGGAGAATCCATGAATGATCCGCTGACTGCTTGAAAATGCTGTAGGAAAAGGGAAAAAAAATGATCGGCTGAAAATTGCATTTTCTGTTTTTCGGCCCATTCGTACGCCCCACTCATATACCGCTCATGCTCACCGGAAAAGCAAAGTCCGCTCAAATAACGTGCCAACAGGAAATTTCTATGTAGTATACTTGCTCCTGTTGTTTGCTGTAGTACAGCTGTACTAGGCAACACTGGTAAAATGCATACAGTCTATGGTAAAACGACGCTACCCTCTTGTGACGCTATGCTCTGCTCATATGCTCTGATAATAATAGCTTTGTAGGACTATACATTATTTGGATAATTAAACCAAAAATTCAGTTCAATCTGATTGTGTTGCATAGAACTGAATCATGTAAAAAATGATATATTGATATTTAATATTAATATTTACTTTCAATAAAAGTGTGGTTATTTTAATGGCTTGCATTTGTAAATTTACTATCATTAAAATGATTGAGTTAAATTAAAAAGTCTCACAAAATTATTTAATATTATTTAATAAAATAATAAATAATTATTAAAAAGCATATTCAGTTTTCAGCCAAGTGCATCCAGAATTTTCAGTTTCCGTTTCGGACCAGAATTGCCATTCCGGTGCATCCCTAGTGTCAGCCTGAGGTTACGTTTACACTAAAACAATGTACTACAAAAGGTAAAAGCATTTTTTGCATGCAGATGACAATGTTGTCAAAATGATTCCCATTCACACGGAACCACAAAAATCCCTTGCTGTATGATGCATGCCAGGCCAGTAGTTGGCGACGTCACCAAATAAATACTACACTAACACATAATACACATGCACATAACTTCACCATTTTCACAAATCTGTGTTTTCGTAGTTTGCACAGAGACGATAATGGTATCATTTTTAAAAACTTGCACTTTGAAAAACATTTTCGGACCTTTTCATTTTCAAGCCCCCAAAATGCCATTGTCGTGTAAATGAACGGCAAAAACAGCTGAAATGTTTTCATTTTTTTTTAGTTGAAAATGGTGTTGTGTAAACACCCTTAAAGGTGCTGTATGTATTTTTTGCTGTACTTAAGAAAAAAAAATATCATAATATGTTTGTCCAGCTACATTTAATTATAGCACTTTATGCAATACAGATTGTTTCAAAGCAGTAATAAGCAGGAAAATAAGTGTTAATGTTGCAAAATTCACCAATTATGAAACAAATTCAATTTCAGCTGTAAAGCAGCTCTATCAGAAGACAACTGTCATTTTTAAAGCATGTGCAGAAATCCCTCTTACTCTTAATTCAAATGAATGATGTGTCACTTTGCAACTAATTTCATATGAGCGTTTTCCCTCATTACCTTTAAGATTACTGAATATGGCTCATTAGCCACATACTGCTACTCAAGTATTAATATGATTAGATTAAGAGCCAAAAGAAGATATTCAAAGTTCGAATCAGGTCAGTAAAATATTATATGTACTTTAATACTACGGAGACTGAAGGGCAGCAATAAACCCTGTTAATCAACACGTACACCCAGAAAACACATTAGCCTATAGTAGTCAGCGACTAGTGTTGTTCAGGCAGTTATCAGTGGTTATCATTCTCTAATCAGGCATTGTCTCCATGTAAACGTGTTTGTTGAGTGCAGCGGCTGACAGGATTTCTGCATGCTCGTTCAGAGAGGAAGAACAGCTCTACAAATTGGATTCCTCTCTAGAAGTTAAAATCTTTTCCTCCTGAAAAATGCCCTAATGTATGTACGTACATTGTATATGTCTGTATTTATTTATTACAAAATGTATGTACACTCAAGTTTTTTTTTTGTTTTTTTTTTCCCTCAAACTCTAATTTTCAATATTGCATGAACAGGACCATAATCATAACTGATGAGAATAATTTATGACTGATTTTGCACAGCTTGCTTTAGAATCATCAAGAGCCTCGTAATATGTATTTTTAATAAATCAGGCCTTTTCAAATGAGACTGGTCGCTCTTCCAAGGTGTCTTGTTTTCCTCTCATCTCAGGACTCAAGCTGAGGCGTGTTTCCAGTGAAATGATTACTTCATTGCAAAGCAAACCAATGGTGCTCAATGCAAAACATATTAAGTAAAACAGCCAACATGTGGGTGAAGCACTAGGTAAAATGGCATTATAATACCAAGAGGTGCATCAGCCGTGAACATTTTGCTCCTGAAGTCATGTGCATAATCAGGCGTCCCGCTGCCACATGTCAGTACATTTGGATATTAAAAGGTCAATAGACATATGCAACTTCAAGTAAAATTTAATTAACACTCATTAACTAATGTGTGCCGTCTAGAGTAATGCTGACAACAAGCAGTTCATCATTAGATGAGCACGCACACACACACACACACACACACATATATATATATATATATATATATATATATGTGTGCGCGTGTGTGTGTGTGTGTGTGTGTGTGTGTGTGTGTGTGTGTGTGTGTTATGTTATTAATATTACTAATAATAAATTCATAAATTATAAGCAATACTAAAAATAACAATTATTATTATTGTTGTTGTTGATGATGTTATTTTATGCATATAAATAATACAAATAATATATTGTATTATTATTTGCCTAAATAAATACATAAATTAATATAGATAAAATCATAAAAAATACATGATATATCTCATGGGAACATGCTGCTTAAATCAGAATCAGTTTTCTTCTGAATTGAATTAAATTAAATTTACTCAGAGAAACCAAAACAAACCACTGAACTTCATTTAATTAATCACAATCCAGGCTTCAAACCACATTTATCTTTAACAAAAGCTTTATATCACACTGAGACTGAATGTGCAAATATCACAAAAACAAAGACACACAATTCATGAAATCTGTTCCTATCAGAGCAATTAAAGCACAATATAGAGACAGAAATAGAGAAACAGAAAAAGACTATCAGCAGTTCACTGAAGCTAAAGGGGAAGAGGAAACTAAATAAATAAAGAGAATGTAAAACGAGTACCTCTAGGTTTCTGCTCCTGAGTTGACTGATGGATAAAGTGTGTTTATAAGAGTCCTGTCGCTCGTACTCTACAGCGATTGTACCCGGATCCACACGTGTGTGTGTGTGTGTGTTAGAGAGAGAGAGAGAGAAAGAGAGAGAGAGAGAGAGAGAGAGAGAGAGAGAGAGAGAGAGAGTAATCTAGCTGCTGGATTACAGTGAGTCTCTGCTGATGCGCTGACTTTAACTCTCAGAGCAAATCAGGCCAATCTCACCTTATTCAGATACTAGAAACAACAGCCAAATATCTCTCCTGCTGTCCATCTGTCCATCAGTCCTCCTGTTTTCTCACGTGTCTGTGTATTTAAGTGCTTATACGTGATCAGTAATGCATACATGTGTGTTTTAATCGAAACAAAAACATTAAGCCTCTGAAACTCTTCATCAGATTGGGTCTTTCTAGAATGCAGACCAGGATCATGGATAATGACGGCGAGCATCTGGCCATGATCTAGTCTATGGCAATTCAAATTGAAATACCATGTGCAACATTTTATTGTGTGTGTGAAACCAGTGTTATTTTAGTATTATTTATATACTATAGTATCTATTGCTATTTAGAATTAGCTTTTGCATTTTCAGTTCCCTTTCATGGGAACTTCGAACTGCGTCCTCTAGGGGTCGCTATGGGGAACGCCTCGTCGTGACCCGTCCATAGCGACCCCTAGAGGACGCAGTGTCTCGTTCCCTACTCAGGGAACCATGGTTACATAAGTAACCTGAGACGTTTTCATTTAGGTTGATGTTTTAATTATTTTGTCAAGTTCATTGTCATTTTTCATTATTTTTTTTTTCTATTTGGCTTTAATTTACATTTATTTCAGTTTTAATAATTTTAGTTCTTCAACATTTAGCATTTTTATTTCAGTTAGCTGCCATGTTTTTAATATGCATGTTTTATTTTAACTTTATTTCAATTGAAGAAAACCATTTTTTTTTTTGTTTGTTTGTTTTTTTTGTAGTTAGCAATAACAACACTGTGAAACTAGATTTTTTTTTATTTTGTTTTTTATGGTTAATAATATGAAACCGCACACAACTGCACTATTAAAATATATTTCAGCCTTTCTTGCCGTGGCTTAAATACCTTATCTCTACTGCTTTAAATATGTCATCCACACACCTTTAATGGATGACAACAAACAAACAAAAAGCCAACAGCAAGGAACTGAAAGACAGATTGCATGTGTATCCATTCATTTGAGATACATCTTGCATAGTTTTTTTAGGCAACCCTTGATCTGTTTGTTTCTAAAGCTCATAATTCTCTCCTTTTATTTTGTAGACCGGCTCAGATTCGCTCTAATGCTGATTGGATCTCATGAGAAGCTCATCAAATGTCATCCATCTTTCTAATCCAGTTCTGTGGCACAACCAGAGCATTTTCTATTAAGACCACAATGCACTCAGATTACAAGAGGAAATAAACTAAACATGAAGAATCAATCCATCTTCAGCTGGTCTGACATTCACATTACAGAGAATATTATCCTCAAGAGAATCATGTTACTCTGAGCTGCACAGACATCTGACTGATGCACAACAGTCATTAACTGCACAACTTCAAATATGGTGCATGCGCACACACACAATACAGAGGTACTGTCTACTGAGATCATGTGAGTAGATCTTCACTATAAACTTCCTTAAAGGAATAGTTCAACAAAAAATTTAAATCTGCTGAAAATGTACTCACCCTCAGGCCATCCAAGATGTAGATGAGTTTGTTTCTTCATCAGGTTTGGAGAAATGTAGCATTGTATCAGTGTCTCAGCAATGGATGCTCTGCAGTGAATGGGTGCCGTCAGAATGAGAGTCCAAACAGCTGATAAAAACATCACAATAATCCACAAGTAATCCACACCACTCCAGTCCATCGGTTAATGTATTGTGAAGCAAAAAGCTGCTTGTTTGTAAGAAACATCCATCATTAAGACATTTTTAATGTCAAACCATTGCTTCATGCCAAAATACGACTCCATAATCCATAATAACGCTTCCTCCAGAGAAAAAGTCCATCTCCTGTTGTCCTCTCACATCAAAATCCAGCCACATATTTGTTTAGAGCCGTTTTGGATTGTTTTGGCTTGTAAACGGTGCTTGATCTGTGCAGATTTCTCTCCTGATTCAGACCAGATTACTTTTTCACTGGAGGAAGCATTATTATGAATAGAGGACTCATTTAAAGTTAAAAACATCTTAATGCTGGATTTGTTTCAGCTTTTGTCTTCTCCAGATGTTAACTGATGGACTGGAGTGGTGTGGATTACTTGTGGATTATTGTGATGTTTTTATCAGCTGTTTGGACTCTCATTCTGACGGCACCCATTCACTGCAGAGCATCCATTGCTGAGACACTGATGCAATGCTACATTTCTCCAAAATACAAACTCGGTTGGCAGAGTTTTATTTTGGGTCGAACTATTCCTTTAAGTCCTGACTCTTTCCTCTCTTATTTCTGTGACAACTCTGACAATATGTCTTGTGTTGGATATTTTCAGTAACATTTCTGTCAAGTTTCAAACACCTTTTCTTACACACATTCTATAGCCTCGAACAATCCTGTTCAAAAGATTAATACTGTAACAAATGCATTACTCATTGTTAGTTAATGTTAGTTAATTAACAACTGGGACCTTATTGTGAAGTGTTACCAAATGCTGTAAATATTAACTGATATTATAAATACCAAAAAAAGTTTTATTTCATACTAACAGAGATGCTCTATATTTTTCCCCAATTTCCACTGACACTTTTGGTGAAGTTTTTGCACCATATTTTTTTAGTTTTTAATGAATTAGCATCAGAGACTGACACACACTCTCTAAATGCACCCTAATAAGCATCATATAGTAACGAAAGCTCAGTAAATAGAATAACTCCCAGTGACATGCATTAGCATTATCCTCTCTGTATGAAGGCTGCTGCCTCACCTGTGCAGGATGAATCACCCTAAACCCTTCATCTACACCCTCCTCCTCCTCCTCCGTCACTGAAAGAAGCTGTTGTGAGTCTGTGTGTCCTGCTGAGACTGCAGTGGGTAGAGCAGATGACACTGCTTCTTACCGTCATTTCCTGACAGAGATTGCTGTATTTGCTTGAGAAACTCTGAAATGCCTTTCATGTAAACTTGAAGGAGTGTGACTTCCAAAGGGCTGAGCGATGTTCAAGGCCTTGAACCATACATTAAATATTTACATAAAACACTGCTCTATAGCTTCACTCTCGATTGAAGAAATCCCTAACCTCACATTACCTACTTCCTGAGATTGTTGACTGTCAACTCTAAACTGTGACCATGCCTCCAAAAAAATGCTTTGGTAGCACGTCATAAAAACATATAAAAAATAAATAAGGGTCATTAAATATTTATACGAGTTGAAATTATTTATTATGTTTGGAGAAACAGACCACATCAAATCCACAGTTTAGCATCATTATACATAAATAACAGACCAATCAAGAGTCATGCAATAAAATCGAATCATGTTTATGAAGGTTTCTATAAAGTGTTACCAGTGTTTCATGTCTACAGCAACTGTTTGAGGCACTTGAGCTCTCTCTCATTAAACAGCATAAATGAGCACACATGGCTGTCTATGGTCATGTATTTGCATCTCTGATCAGGACCATGTGAGTTAGGAAACAGATGCGACCGGTGGCCACTTTACAATATTAATTAGCGTTCTGTCACTTTATAATAAAGTGCCCAAGGAAAAAGCAGGTTGATTAATCAGCTATCATCATGAGATGCTTCACTATAGGACACTCATTGAGCCTTTTCAGCTGTACTTCGCTACTATGAATATAAAAGTATACATTTAATTTAAATTATTTTTTTAACAATAATAATAATCAATTAACGGAAAGCATAATTATAACTGCCCCTGCAAAGTCCTTACATAGACATTATTTGTCCTAGTTAATGCATCACACAATCTGGCATGCGATGTGATGCTTAATGGATGCTCTGCAGTGAATGGGTGCCGTCGGAATGAGAGTCCAAACAGCTGATAAATAAGTCACAATAATCCACGATACTCAAGTCCATCAATTAACACCTTGTGAAGTGAAACAGCTGCATGCTTGTAAGAAATAAATCCATCATTAAGGCGTTTTAACTTTAAATAGTCGCTATCAGCCAAAATATGTCCCTAATGCATAATAACACTTTCTCCAGTGACAAAGTCCATCTCCTGTTGTCTCTCACATCAATTTTGGACTGTTTTGGATGCTTGATCTGTGCAGATTTCTCTCCTGATTCAGACCAGATGACTTTTTCACTGGAAAAAAAGCAATATTATGAGGACTTTAATGATGATTTGTTTCTTACAAACACACAGATTTTGTTTTTATCAGCTTTTTGGACTCTCATTCTGACGGCACCCATTCACTGCAGAGGATTATTTGGTGAGCAAATGATGCAATGCTACATTTCTCCAAATCTGTTCAGATTTTTTTATTTTTTTTTATGTTAACGTGATTATTAAATGTTTTTCAATCTCTCATTTTAAATGTACCATCATCAACAAGAGTTTCACAGATAACATAAAAAATGCCTTGTAACGTTCACTTACAATATGGTGTTATTAAAACACTCTACTCAAACTACCAGCTACCAGAAGTTTCACACTGCACTGAAAACACATTATAACCAAGTAAGCTCAGCATTGTTGCAATACACTATTCCATGTCTGTGAGTACACTAACTAGCCTCATTTATGAATATAAAAACATAATTTAATGATAAAGCCGTCGTTGTAAGCCCTACCTGCGCTGCCATCAGTGATAACTCAATTTTCGTCTGTTCCTGTCCGCGGATGTTGAGATGAACTCTGTTCCTCGTCTGCGTCTCACTGTGAGGTTGAGAGTCGTGTCTCTGTTGCGCGCCTCTGCTGCTGAATTCAGCTGCCATCCTTACAGAATTATTTACGCTATTTTTTTCTTTGACAGTCAAACAGACTGACAGCTGAACTGCCTGCTACCTCTTCACAACTTTTGGTCTGTAAAGAGTGCTTTTATCACGTGAATTAAT